TTTTTTTTTAGAGAGAGAGAGAGTGATCACAAGAGGGGAGGGGCAGAGGGAAGGAGAGAATTCCAAGCAGGCTCCATGCCCAGCACAGAGCCCAATGCAGGGCTTGATCCCATGACCCTGAGATCATGACCTGAGCCGAAATCAAGAGTTGGATGGATGCTCAACTGACTGAGCCACCCAGGTGCTCCAAGATTTCATTCCTTTTTTATGGCTGAGTCATATTCCAGTGTGTGTGTGTGTGTGTGTGTGTGTGTGTGTGTATGCTACATTTACTTTATCAATTCATCATCAATGAACATTTCGATTGTTACAGTATCTTGATAATTATAAACAATGCTGCAGTGAACATGGGGGTGCATATAGCTCTCTGAGTTAGTGTTTTTATTTTTTTCAGATAAATATCCATAAGTGAAATTGCTGGATCATATGGTAGTTCTACATTTAATTTTTTAGGTAACCTCCATATTGTTTTCCTTAGTGACTACACCAACTTACATTCCCATCAACAATGCACAAGGGTTCCCTTTTCTCCACATCCTTGCCAACATTTGTTATCTCTTATCTTTTTGATAATAGCCATCCTAACAGGTGTCAGGTGATACCTCATTGTGGTTTTGATTTGCATTTCCCTGATAATAAGTTGAGCACCTTTTCATGTACTTATTGGTTATCTGTGTGTCTTCTTTGGAAAAATGTCTGTTTAGATCCCTGGCTCGTTTCTTAATTGAATTGTTTGTTTTTTGCTGTTGAGTTGGACATGTTCTTTATGTATTTTGGGTATTAACCCCTTAGCAGGCATATGATTTGCAAATATTTCCTCCCATTCAGTGTGTTGCCTTTTTATTTTGTTGATGGTTTCTTTTGCTGTGCAGAGCCTTTTTAGTTTAATGTAGTCCCACTTATTTATTTTTGTTGCCTTTGTTTTTGGTGTCAAATCCAAAAAAATCAAGCCAAGACCAATGCCAAGGAGCTTACCACCTATGTCTTCTTTTAGGAGTTTTATGATTTCAGATCTTACATTCAAGTCTTTAATCCATTTTACATTAACTTTTGTGCATGGTTGAAGATAGTTATTCAGTTTCATTCTCTTGCATGTGACCGTCCAGTTTTTCTAACACCATTTACTGAAGAGACTGTCCTTTCCCCATTGTATATTCTTGTCTCCTTTGTCATAAATTAATTGGCCATACATATATGAATTTATTTCTTGGTTCTCTATTCTATTCTATTGATCCATGTGTCTGTTTTTATGCCAATACCATAATGTTTTACTTACCTTGCTTTTGTTGTATATTTTGAAGTCAGAAAGCATGATGCCTCCAGCTTTGTTCTTCTTTCTCAAGATTGCTTTGACAGTGGTTAAGAGCTCATGATTTTCATGATTTTCTTGGTCTTTTGTGGTTCCATAAACATTTTTGGATTATTCATTCTATTTCGTGAAAAATGCATTGTGGTTTTGGTAGGGATTGCATTGAATCTGTAGATTGCTTTGGATAGTATGGACATTTTAGCAATATTAATTCTTCCAGTCAATGAGTACAGAATATCTTTTCATTTATTTATGTCTTCTTCGGTGTCTTTTAACAATGTCTTATAGTTTTCAGTATCTTATAATTTTCGATAATAATGTCAGTCTTTCACTTCCTTGGTTAAACTTATTCCTAGATATTTTATTCTTTTTGATGCAGTTGTAAATAAGATTGTTTTCTTAATTTCTCTTGCTAGTAGTTAATTATTAGTACATAGAAATGGAACAGATTTCTGTATATTGATTTCGTATCCTGCAATTTTACTGAATTTATTTATACTAACAGGTTTTTTGTGAAGTCTTTAGAGTTTTCTCCATATAATAACATGTCATCTGCAAATAGTGACAACTTTACTTCTTCCTTTCCAGTTTGTATGCCTTTTATTTCTTTCTGTTGTCTAATTGCTCTAGCTAGGACTTCCAATGCTATGTTGGATAAAAGTGGTGAAAGTAGGTATCCAGATCTCGTTCCTGACCTTAGAGGAGAAGTTTTGAGCTTTTCACCATTGAGTATGATGTTAGCTGTGGCCTTGTCATATATGGCCTTTATTATGTTGAGGTATGTTCCCTCTGTAACCACTTTGTTGAGAGTTTTTATAATAAATGGATGCTGAATTTTGTCAGATGCTTTTTCTGCATTTGTTGACATGAGCATATGATTTTTATACTTCATTTTATTAATGTGGTGTATCATGTTGATTGACTTGTAGGCGTTGAACCATCCTTACATCCCTGGAATAAGTTCCACTTGATTATGGTATATGATTTTTTTTTTACTTATATGAGTTTGGTTTGTTAATATTTTGTTGAGAATTTTTGCATCTATGTTCATCAAGGATATTGGCCTGTACTTTTCTTGGTGGTGACTCTATTTGGTTTTGGTATCAGGGTAATGCTTATCTTGTAAAATGAACTTGGAAGTTTTCCCTCCTCTTCTATTTTTTGCAAGAGTTTGAGAAGGATTGGTATTAATTCTTTGACTGTTTGGTAGAATTCACCAGTGAAGATGTCTGGTCCTGGATTTTTGTTTGCTGGGAGATTTTTGATTATTGATTCAATCTCCTTACTAGTTAATTGGTCTGTTCATGTTTTCTATTTATTCATGATTCAATCTTGGAAGATTGTATGTCTTTAAGAATTTATCCATTTCTTCTAGGTTGTCCAATTTGTTGATGTATAGTTGTTCATAGTAGTCTCTTAAAATTCTTTGTATTTCTGAGATATCAGTTGTAACATCTTTTTCATTTCTGATTTTGTTTGAGTCCTCTCTTTTTTTTTCCCCCTAGGCAAGTCTAGCTAAAGGTTTGTCAGTTTTGTTTATTTATTTATTTTTTTAAAAACCAGCTCTTGGTTTCATTGATCTTTTCTATTGTCTTTTTAGTCTCTATTCCATTTATTTCTGCTCTGATCTTTGTTATTTCCTTCCTTCTGCTAACTTGGGGCCATGTTCGTTCTCCTTTTTCTAGTTTATTAAGATGTGAAGTTAGGTTCTTTATTTGACATTTTTCTTATTTCTTGAAGTAGTCATTTATCTCTATGATCTTTCCTCTTAAACTGCTTTTGCTGCATC